CAACCTGCAACCCAGGTACCTGCTCTTGACTGGGAACTGAACCCAAGACTGAGTTGCAGGCCAACGCTCTAACTACTGAGCAACACAGGCCAGGGCAGAGCGATTGTTTTTGAGTCAGTTCCAAACCATATCACATCTCCCCTAGATTGACCGGTTTTTGGTTGGAGCTTTATCTCAAAACTTTGCTCCTAGACACCTGCCCTTTTTTTTATATATATATATATACCCTAGCCAAGTGTGTTCTTGGACCTCTACACTTAGCTTTGGGTGGGGGAGGGGGGTTTCATTTAAGGCTTAAGTACAAAGCCCACCTTAACTGGAGATATTACCTCCAACCACACGTCGAGGAACTGTTTTAACATTTTATTCGTTAATTAGCAACCTTGGGAAAAAGTTACATCAGGACTCACGAGGCCAATGCAAAAACCCCCAACAAGCTGTTTTCCCTTGTTCCGCGGGGAGCAGACCCACTGCAGATCCACAGCCTCCTGTCCACATCCTGGTCCCCGGTCCGCCGGGTGCAAACGCGCTTCCCTTCAGCTACAGGCCGAGCTCGAGGGCACTCATGGCGTCCTCGAGTCTGAGCATCCCTGGATCAGAAGACAAAGGCGGGCGTGGTGAGGAAAGGGAGGCAACAGCCTGGCCAGGTCCTGGCCCAACGTTCCGGGCCTGGGATCCTCAGGGACCTCGGAACGTGGAACCACTGGGCCCATTCCAACCACCTCCGAGGAACTGGGGGGCGGGCAGGGTTGCGGCCTCAGATAACCCCACCCGATTAGACCAACCCGGGGCCCCCTCCCATCCAAGTCTCACTCCCAGGCCCCGAGGACCCGCCCACGGGCCTCCCCAAGGCGCCCAGGACCAGCCCAACACCGAGGGCCCGAATGGCGGTGAGGCCCGTGCGGGGGGCGGTTGCAGGGGGCACAGGAAGCAGGGGTGCGGAGGGCTGGGAGCGGGGGGGTGTGGGGTGAAGCTGCCCCTCCCCGCCCCCGCCCCCCAGCACCCGGCGAAGGCTTCTCACCTCGCTCCTGCCTCAGGCGGTGCCTCTCGGCCATGGACTGGAGCATCCACTTGGTTCGGAGCTTGTACAAGTAATTGCCGTAAACCACGACCTCGGTGAGGTTCGAGGATTCCAGAACCTTCAGCTCGAGCATGGCTCTGCTCACTTGCTCGATGTATGGGATTCGAGATCCTCCGGGGCCTACGTGGGGGAAGAAGATGGAGCGTTCAGACACCCCCCCTCCCCCACGGGAGGCCCAGACGCCCGCCCAGACGCCCGCCTGCCCGGGTGGAGGCACCCCAGTCAGGACTGGGCTCCCTTACCAAACATGGCTTCCAGCAGCGCCGTCTGGACCTGCAGCACCTCCGGGTCTCGCAAGTCCTCGGGGACTTTCACCCACGGGGGGATATCTTTCCGTCTCGGCATCGTCCCCATCTCGAATGCCTCGAAAGGAAAACCGCGCTCAGAGTTACGTTAGGCCTGAGGGAAACCCGCGCCGCTGCCGCCGCGCCAAAATTGAGCTCTCGGGAAGGCCCCGCCCCCAGCCAGGCCCCGCCCCCAGCCAGGCCCCCGCCCCGGAAGGGCCCGCCCTGGAAGTCCAAATCCGGGGCTCACATCGCCCTGCTCGCCCCGCCTCCTGCCTGCACTCGGATCTAGCACGTGACCTCCTGTACGTTCCCGAGCGCTGGTGGGCCCAGCTGTCCCCAAGTTCACAAGGTTACAAGGGTTTCCACCTGCATTGACTCTTCCGCACCAGAAACCCTGGGCCTTGGGAGTTCGCGGGACAAAGGCGCTACTCGTGCCCCAGGAACGAGTGGTTGGGCCTGAACCCCAGAAAGTGGAAATCCAGGTTGAAGGGTGCGAGAACCACCCGGGAGCTGCCAATCGAGTTTCAGCCTTTCGGCCTTCCACGTTCCAAAGGAGGGTCCGTTTCCTTCTCTGAGGGTTGGATCCTGGGTCTTCACATCGCAGGTGTGAATTCTGGGACCTCGGGAGTCATTCCTGCCACTTAACAAAGAGGAAACGAGATTTAAAAATTCATTATCGTAAAGGGACTCTAAAGTGCTCCCACTGTTCCAGTTCCTTGAAGCCCCTGAGCCTGGAAATTTTGAATCTACTATTTCGAAGCTCATCTGGCTCTGCCTGGCCACTAGAACCGAACCGTATGGTCCAGACCTCTGGCTCTAAATAAACTGGTTTATTTATTTTTTTAAAATATATTGCTTGAAGCGATGTACTGGGTTCACCCAATGAGGGTATGATTTCAGTGTTTTAGGGCTTCACAGATGGAGATGAAGCTGGGTCTTCCCAAGGCCACCTTATGGGAACTTCTACCTAATAATCCCTCAGCTGGCTATTATGACCATGGCTTATTTGAAAAGTCATATTTTCTTTCCTGAAAATTATAAAAACCAAACCTTTAGTTCTTTCTTAGGCTTCCAAGTTTCACTTTCAAACCTTATTATCCCATTCATAAGCATAGAAAGTTGGATTTTTGTGTTTTTAACCCTCACCTGAGGACATGCTTAGAGGGAGGAAAAGAGAGAGAAAGAAACATTGATGTGCATCAATTGGTTGCCTTCCACACAACCAGGGATGGAACCCCGCAACCCTTGTATGTGCCTTGGCAACCTTTCCATGCACAGGATGACCTTCAACCAACTGAGCCACTCTGACCAGGCAGAAAGTTTTGTTTTTTAATATATTTTTATTGATTTCAGAGAGGAAGGGAGAGGGAGAGAGAGATAGAAACATCAATGATGAAAGAGAATCATCAATGGGCTGTCTCCTGCATGCCCCACACTGGGGATTGAGCCCACAATCTGGGCATGTGCCCTTGACTGGAATTGAACCTGGGACCCTTCAGTCTGAAGGCCAATGCTCTAGCCACTGAACCAGGCAGAAAGTTTTAACAATTACATTTAATGGTCTCAAAATATCACAGGTTCCACTGACAAATTTAATTAACTAAATATTCTCATACATGGTAAAGAGCATTGCAAGGTACTTTAAGCCTCAAAAAACTTCCCAATTACCAAATAATTCCTATAAACCAAATAAATACAATTTATTAATATGTTGAACCTGAATTTCTCTTCAGAAATCCAATACTGCATATAAACTAATATTTCATCTTAACCCACATATCTAAATCAATTACTTATATATTTCAAATTGGAATTACAAAACTATTTCTCTAATATGTTAAATTATCTAAAATATTACAGGAAAATAAAATACCATGCATATGGATTCCTTCTTTTTTAACCACTTTGAAGAATACAGTACAATGAACTACTTATACTAAAATGTGTGCTATTTGACCAATTTTGACATATAGTTACATCAGTGGAACCTTCACTATAATCAAGATAATGCATATTTCCATCATCCCCAAGTTTCCTAGTGTCTCTTTCTAATCCCTTCCTCCTTCCAGCCCCTTTCCCAGGCAATCACTTCCTGCTTTCTATCACTATAGATTAGTTTTCATAGTCTAGGATTTCATTTAAATACAGATTCTTTTTTAACATAATTACTAATACTATGGTTTTAATTCTCTTAAATGTTTCTATACCCAATTTCTGAAACTTCAAGGAAGTAAAAAATCTACTCACACACACAAATGACAACAATATGCATAGAGCTGCAAGTATCCTTATCTCAACTAAGGGGAAATATTATCACCCTATATCATTTTGGTAGCAGAAACAGATTTCAGACTAGAGATTGTCATGGAGATGCTTCCTGGATTTGATCCTTCAAATTCAATAGGACCTCAGATTTCAATTTATAGTTGCTGTGTTAATGACTCCATAGCTCCAGGGGAGGCAGTCATGGAGCCCAGATCCTTGGGTTTCAGTTATACATTCATCTAATTCTTCTGCCTACCCACAGGAGTTTATAAGTCCATCCTGTGACCTTTTGTTTTGTTTTTTAATCATGTTTCTTTTATTTTTTTATTGATTTCATAGAGGGAGAGATTGAAACATCAATAATGAAAAATCATTCATCGGCTGCCTCCTGCACCACCCCCCCAGGGACCGAGCCCCCCCCCCCCCACCCCAGGCATGTGCCTTTGACCAGAATCGAACCAGAGACCCTTCAGTCCCCAGGCCAACATCTCTCCACTGAGCCAAACCAGCCAGGGCAATCCTATGACCTTTTGAATTGATATTGCCTTTCTTTGGCTCTTAATGCATATTCTGCTTAGGTCTCAAGACTGTGGACCATGTCAAACACCTACAAACTTCTCATGCACTTCTTTGGCCAACAGATCTCCATGGAGGATTCAAGGATGAGCCTGAATTCTGAGGGTCTCAGCCCGCTGGGCCTGGGCATGATACCCAACTACTGATGTGAGAGCTAAATAACTTCATCTTCCTGAGTAGCAGATAACAAGTAATGCTTTAAGCTGGGCAGAAAAATCGAGAGATGGAAATGTAATTGTGTTAGGGAATTAAGACATCAAAAATTTCAAGGGACTCCCCTCTAACATCCAAACCACACGGACCACCTGCTGTTGGCTGTGTTCAGCTGTCTCTGGCAGGTTAAGGAAGAAACTGGAAATGTGCTGGCTCTGGGTAGGGAACTCATTGGTCAGGGGTTCAGGAGGAAGTGGGAGACTTTAGCCCTTGAATACTATTTTACCCTTTTAATTTTTGCTCTTTTTTTTTTTTTTTTTTTGGTGTGTGTGTATTTAATTAGTTTTCCATTAGAAAGTTATCCCAACTCCTCAGGAATGCTAAAATGGCCCCATTAGAACTGTCTGAAAAGCACCCGGGTCCCTGAAAATATCAGTTTGCTTCTCTGCGGATATTGTCCTGCTGTTGGATCTTCCCTTCGACGCTAGAGCTCCGCCTCTCCCTCCCCGAGTGCGGGGAGCGGGGAAGGAGGGAGGGGCGGGCCCCGTGGGAACCCGCGGGCAATAGAGCGCACCTGTGCCGTCTCGGATCGACGCCGGCTGCGGACGGCTAGGCCTGGAATCCTATGAGCAGGGCGCGATGGGGAGGGGCTTGACACGGCCCTTATAAGAAGGCCCGGGCCCAAGAGCCGCTGCCGTAGCCAGGCCCACTTGCATCTGCACCAGCTCTGTCTGCGTGTCCCGCCCAGCATGGCCACCACCAAGCGCTTTCCCACGCTCGTGCAGCTGGAGCAGCGGGGCGGGGCGCCATTCCAGGTGCTGGGTGACCACGCCAAGCAGCCCTACTGGTTCCACACGGAGTACCTCAAGAGCCCGAAGACGGTTCACCTCGAGGCGTGGCTGGTGGAAGCGATCTTCGGTGAGTGGCGGGAGAGGGGAAGCCAGGGCGGCCTCCTTTCCCCAGCTCCCATCACCCAGCCGCACCGCACCTGGGGGCAAGCCTCCTCTGTGGCCCTGGCAATTCTCCCCCTCCCGACACCTCCCCTTCCTGAGCGCCCCTCACGGCCTTTCTCCCTCCTGTGCAGGCCCCGGCGGAGAGCACATTCCGCACGTCGAGTGTGTGTCGCAGACCCTGCTTCGCATTAACCAGTGGGACCCCGAAGGCGAGGCTGAGATCCTGATCTTTGGCCGGCCTTCTTACCAAAAGGATGTGTCCAAGATGATCATGAACTTGGCTCACTATCACCGCCAACTCCGGGCACAAGGTAGCGGGCCGGGAATAGTGAGGGGAAGCCTGGGCAGACCTTGGCTCACTTGGGAGGGATCCTGATGCGTCCCGGGTGTGGCCGGGCAGCGGTCTCATCCTCTTAGTCCGCCGGGAATGGGCTTCCTCTTTGCAAAGCATCTAGAAGCCCAAATGGACCCCGTGCTCTCAGATTTCGGCCCCACCCCTGCAGCCCTTACGGGTGACTCCTGTGGGGGGGGGGGGAGAGTTTGGGGACACAGGTGCGGCCTCCTCACCTGCTCTTCTTCCAGGCTCGCTGAAGAACGCTGCCGAGCAGGCCGAGCCACGGAATTTCTCCGCTGCAGTCCGGGTGGCTGCGCTCCAGGCCTCCCCCGACAAAGTCCGAGTGGCCAAGAGCCAGCGGTCCCCCGACGCTGTCCGGGAGAAGGCGACCCAGCGGTCCCCCGACGCTGTCCGGGAGAAGGCGACCCAGCGGTCCCCCGACGCTGTCCGGGAGATGGGGACCCAGCGGTCCCCCGACGCTGCTCGGGAGAAGGCGACCCAGCGGTCCCCCGATGCTGTTCAGAGAAGGGGACCCAGCGGTCCCCGACGCTGTCCGGGAGAAGGCGACCCAGCGGTCCCCCGACGCTGTCCGGGAGAAGGCAACCCAGCGGTCTCCCGACGCTGTCCTAGAGAAGACGACCCAGCGGTCCCCCGATGCTGTTCAAGAGAAGGGGACCCAGCGGTCCCCCGACGCTGTTCAAGAGAAGGCGATCCAGCGGTCCCCCGACGCTGTCCGGGAGAAGGCGACCCAGCGGTCCCCCGACGCTGTCCGGGAGAAGGCAACCCAGCGGTCTCCCGACGCTGTCCTAGAGAAGACGACCCAGCGGTCCCCCGATGCTGTTCAAGAGAAGGCGACCCAGCGGTCCCCCGATGCTGTTCAAGAGAAGGCGACCCAGCGATCCCCCGACGCTGTCCGGGAGAAGGCGACCCAGCGGTCCCCCGTCTGGGAGGCGGCGACCCAGCTGTTCCCCAACACAGTCTAGGAGGCGGCGACCCAGAGCTCCCCCAACACTACCCAGATCCCGGTTCCCAGGTTATGAAGGCATTTCGGGGCCTCGGAGCGCGAGCCAGGCAAGGTTCAAGTGAAAACCCCTCTCTGGAGCCCTAGTCTAGGTCCTGCTTCTGCAGCAGAAGCTGGGGCAAGTAAAGGGTGGTGTGGGTTGTTCTTGGTTTTCCCTCCCCACCCCCATGTTAAATGTTTGCTAGCACAAATCTAAAGTTGTAACAAAAGAATCGAATTTCCTTAATAAAGAATTGAATTACCTACCGTCTGTTGTTTGGCAGGTAGAAGGGGAGGCAATATCAGCTCTAGGCAATATCAGCTCTAGTCTGCAAGCAGGTGAGACCTGTTGGATTTCTAGCGGCCAGAGGTCGCAGGCTGGTGCTTCCCTCATGCTCCTTCACCGCACACACCTAGCTTTGCCCACTGAGCGGCCCCTCTGGCCCAAGGAGTCTGCCCTCACGGGGAAACCTCTCCAAACCTGGAGTGGGGCACCCTTTTCACGGTTAAAATTGATGTTTGAAATACAATGTAAGTTTCAGGTATGTAACATGTTAGTCTGACACATTATGAATGCCATTGTAGCCATAATTAGCAACTTTGTCAGATTTGGCTTCTGGCTCCAGGCAGCTCCAACACCAGGTGCCTGCTAGAAGGAAGCGAACTGTTAACAGCTGGGCACTGGGATTAAAAGACAAGAGCAAGCACCAATCTTAGTGTTTAGGAAAACTCATTTGTGCTCAGTGATCATCCTCCCATGCACCTAGGTCAGTTCCATTGGATTCTTTCAGTACACAAGCCTGGGTTTGGGGCTCTATCTCCAGGAGGGGGCATACAGGAAGCAGCCAGTTGCTATTTCTCTCTCAGATGTTTTTCTCCTTCGCCCTTCCTCTCTAAAATAAACATTTTAAAAATTAAGACACAAAAAACTTCAAGTCCTAGCCAGTTTCGCTGAGTGGATAGAGCTTAGGCCTGCGGACTGAAGGGTCCAGGGTTCAATTCTGGTCAAGAGCACCAACCTCGGATTCCTGGCCCTGGTTAGGGTGCATGAGGGAGGCAACCAATTGATGTCTCTCACATCGATGTTTCTCTTTCTGCCTCTCCCCCTCCTTCCACAGTCTAAAAACAAAAGTCAATGGAAAAATATCCTCAGCTGAGGATTTGAAATAAATTTTATAATGGAACTTCACTTTAAGGATCAGGGCAGTGGTATGTCTGTCATAGGCCCTTTGGTTACCACTAATAGGTGATCACTGTGGACGAAAGGGGCCATATGCTAACCTGACAAGCTCAGGGAAGGCCTGCATGGCGGTCTTGCAAACTCAGAGACCTAAAGTAACCACAAAGGATGGTCTGAAATTAAACTAAAATCAGTTATGGTGGGTAGTTAATGTCCTAGGCCAGTATCTTCACTGACAAGGTCAACCTTTACCTTAACTGAGCCTGTCTTTTTGTACCTATGATAACATACTAGTGTCCTTGAAATGTCTGGGTAACTTGTAACTTCCCTTTTTCCAGACCCCTTGGGGCACAACATAATGTGATTTTAGAGAAAGGGGAAGGGAGAGAGAAAACAAAACAGACTGGGTGGCTTAAGCAACATTTATTGTTCTCAAAGTTCTAGAGCAGTGGTTCTCAACCTTCCTAATGCCCGAGACCCTTTAATACAGTTCCTCATGTTGTGGTGACCCCTAATTTCATTGTTACAAATTGAACATAATTAAAGCATAGTGATTAATCACAAAAATATGTAATTATATGTGTTTTCTGATGGTCTTAGGCGACCCCTGTGAAAGGGTCGTTCAACCCCCAAAGGGGTCGCGGCCCACAGGTTGAGAACTGCTGTTCTAAAGGCTAGAAGTCCAAGATCAAGGTATTCCCAGGTTTGGTTTCTTCTGAAGACTCTCTTCTTAGCTTGCAGATGGCTGCCCTCTTGCTATGTATGTCTTCACATGGGCTTTCCTCTGTGCTCAACCTATCTTGTGTCCATATTCTTCTTCTTATAAAGACACCAGTTATACTGGGAAAAGGCCCACCCATATAGCCTTATTTTACCTTTATTAACTCTTTATAGGCCCTACCTCCAAATACACTTATATTTGGAAGTAATGGGGGGTAAGAAGTGCAGAATCATTTAATAATTTAATTTTTATTAATCTGGGGGAAATTGGAATAAATTTTAAGCATAACCCTCTTCCTCCAAATACCAGTCCAAAATGTTCAATGGTTTTGAGAAATCCCAATAGGAAAACCTGCAGGAATATTTGTCAGATTTCTACAGAATACCCTGGCTGGTGAGGCTCAGTGGTTGGCACATCGCCCCAGAAGGTAGCAGGTTTGATTATCCATCATGGCACATACCCAGGTTGTGGATTTCTCCCTGATCAGAGCAAGTGTGGGAGGCAACCAAACGATGTTCTCTCACACCGATGTTTCTCTCCCCCTCTCCCATACCTCCCTTCCTCTCTAAAATAAAAAAATCTACAGAATAAGAGCAAGCAGGAGTTCCTAAGCTTAAAGTAAGGATGAGGGCCCCAATAGCATGGGGTTCAGTGGCTGAGCATCGGCCCATGCACCAAGAGGTTGCTAGTTGGATTCTAGGTCTGGGCATACGTCTGGGTTGCAGGCAAGATACCCATTAGGGGGCGCGAAGTAGGCAGCTGATCAATGATGTTTCTCATAGATGTTTTTCTCTCCCCCTCTCCCTTTAAAAATCAAAACTTTTTTAAAAAAGGATGAGGGGAAATCACACAGAAAACAATAATTGGTTTAACTACATATAACAATTTCTCTCATGCAAAAAAAATATTAGTTCTAATGGACCAAAAATGAGAAGCAAACTAGGAATATGATCATTATCACTTGTAATCAAAGACATATTTTAAAAGACACGTGTGTGTTTAAAAACCCTTGCAAACAGCTAAAATCCTTTACTACTAAGGGGTAAAGAAAGTGCAGGAGTTAAATCAACTCAAACTTTGTCTGAAGCTGCCGAGCTCTTATCCACCCCTCCCCCCAAGAAATCTGCTTCCTGAAAGTGGAGACAGCAAGGGTTTAAGGTTGTTTTGCACAATTTGTTCATAACTATTTCACTGGTAATAGAAAAACAAATCCCCTGGTTCAGGACACCTTTGCAGGCCAGTATGTGTGTAGGGGAGGGAGGGGGGAGCGGAGCCAGCCAGCCTGGGGACAGAACACCTTCTGTGGGACAAACTGCCCAGGATCACAGTTCTCCAGTGAATCTCAGCACCAGCAGAATGAATGCTGATGGCTTAGCTTTCCTGTTAGAATACCCAGTCATGTGCAGAGAGGGAGGCACCCCTCTAGAACAGTGGTTCTTAACCTTGGCTGCACATTAGAATCACCTGGGAATCTTTTTAAATATATTGATTTTTCACAGAGAGGAAGGGAGAGAGAGAGTTAGAAACATCCATGAGAAAGGAACATTGATCAGCTGCCTCCTGCACACCTCCTACTGGGGATGTGCCCGCAACCATGGTACATGCCTTGCCCTTGAACCTGGGACCTTTCAGTCCACAGGCTGACGCTCTATCCACTGAGCCAAACCGGTTAGGGCGTGGGAATCTTTTCAAAATCCTGATTTCTGGGCCTCATCCTCCGGAAATTCTGTTTCTTTGTTACTAATGTTGTGGCCCCACCCCATAACAAAGAAACAGAATTTCTGGAGGATGAGGCCCAGAAATCAGGATTTTAAAAAGATTCCCAGGTGATTCTAATGTGCAGCCAAGGTTGAGAACCACTGCTCCAGAAGAAAACGCACAGCAGCTTCAAAGTGAGAGAGCCTAAAAGGCGAATCACAGATTGGAATTACCTGGGAGCTTGTTAGAAATGCAAATTCATGGGCCCAATGTACTGATCAGAATCACTCGAGAAGCATTAAACTTTTAGTAAGCTCCCAAGGTCATATGTTCAAGTTTGAGAACAAATGATGCAAAACAAAAACAAAAAAAGACCCAAAGTATATTGACCCAACATCTCTACCTCCTGTGAATGAAGGCCTGACTGACACCATAAAAATCATAAAATAGTAGTTTCAAAGAAACAGACCAAAAGAAAACCACTTAACAGGCCTTATACCTACCACGCACATCAAGACATGCATGAATCCTTTGGTTTGATTTATGACCAAAAGGGAGATGTATGGACGAAAGGGGCCACACGCTAACCTGATAAGCTCAGGGAAGGCCTGCGTGACTATCTTGCAAACTCAAAGACAAAGTAACTACAAAGGATGGTCTGAAATTAAACTTTAACTGAAAGCAGTAATGGTGGGTGGTCACCTCCTAGGCCGGTGTCTTCACTGACAAGGTCAACCTTTACCTTAACTGAACCTATCTGTCTTTTTGCATCTATGATAACATACCCTTGAAATGTCTGGGTAACTTGTAACTTCCCTTTTCCCAGACCCCTTGGGGCACAACCTAATGTGCCTGGGCTCCAGGACAGATATCACAAATTCCTTCATTGTTATGTTAATTATTCCTCCACCCACCTAAGTGTGTGTCTATCATTTTACCTTTTACCCAATCCCAGAGGTTTCCCCTTTGCTTTCTCCCGCCTCTCTAATCTATCACCAATGGATTTCATGTAACTCACCTACGTGGCCTCCTTTGATTACAATGTATAAAAATAAATGAGAAACTTCCATTCTAGGAAGCATTATCTCAATTCGTTGAGGTTCTGCTTCCCAGTAACTGTCCAGTTTGGCTCAAATAAACCCACACAAAAAAATTTTTTTTTCAAAACGACATGCATGAACTGTCAATCTTTTGTAAATTTGCTTAATTTTAAGTGAGCAAAGATTTTTATGCCAGTGGACAAAAAGGAAATTCATTTTATTACAACAGCACTCACATCTGCATCAGAATAACTAAACCACCATCCAGCCAGCAAAAGAAAGAAAGAAGCTGAGATGTAAGGACACTTGCTTCTTTTGAACTTCAGGAGCAGGAGCAGGTCGGTTCTCATAATGCTCCTGCCAATATCATGCAACAGGAGACCGAGACTGGGCAGACTGGGGAGTCGGGGGAGGTGACCCATGGGCCTTCAAGAACTTCTCAAGTTGTTTTATCTTCTTATCTGGATAAGCAAAAATACTCACGTTTCAAATTACTCTGTCTTTGCGGGCAGGGGGAGGGGCTGGGGGGAGGGGTGCTGGCAACACCATTTCTCTGGGTGGAGGTTCTCAACTTGGATCTGGAAATAGTTGTATAATCAAACGGAGGCCGACATGGGCAGTGAAGGGCATGAATGTGTCAGATCTCAGCTTACTACCCCAAGTTCCTACTTGGACTCCGCACAAAGGGATGCCCAGGGGCTGCCTGCACCTTACAGGAGCTGGGAAATTGCAAAGAGTATTGGGAAGGGAAGAGAGGCTGGAAGGAAGCCAGGTACCGCCGGGGGTTCACCTGGGCTCCCTCCACATGCAGGTTGCAGAGCCTCACCTCGGGCACGGTTTTCCCGGTGCCTTGCTGCCAGGCTCAGGAGCACGCTTCTCACCCTATTTTGGACACGGGGCTGTCCGAAAACAGTGATTTCGATTAAGCTCCCGGAGTTCACCTTTTCCACCGTCAGCAGGACCTGGTTCATCCACTCTATTTCCGGAATCATGGCTCCGTTTTTGCCTAAACAGGAAGAGAGAGACTGCGGGGTGGCATGGTCGAAGGTCAAGAGGAGGCAGATTGGAAGGGAAGGCCGCCGCCGTCGGCTTCCCGGCGTCAAACGTGGCCCTCGAAGTTGGGAAAGGCTGTCGAGAGGTGCCCTGCCCGGCCTCTCTCGGACTGGAGGGGACCAGGCCACCTGCACACCCGGCTCGCTCACCGAAGATGGGGTCAGCCAGACATGCCTCCAGGTAAAACACCAATGGGTCTCTGAGCTCCAGCGCAGGAAACCACCAGGGCCGGGTGCGAATCCGGGGCAGTGGAAGCGGCATCTTCAGCAGCCTGTCCAGGGCCTGGGCGGACATCCATGGGTCCTCCTGGACCACAGCATCGGGCTGGTCGACCATGCTGGGAGCTGCAGCACCAGGGCGAGGTCGAGTGGCTCTCACAGAACTCCAATCAGAGGCGGAGCCTGTGCCTGCTTTTAGGGTCTCCGTGCAGCCCCGCCCCTTCTGGCATTACCCCCCAGCCCAATAGACACTGGGCACCAGGGCCTGCAGGCTCCATAGGGCGCTTCCTGCTCTGCATCAATCACCAGGACTTCCTTTGGGACCTTGAATTAGTCTTTATTTGGCTCCAGCTGGGTCTCAGAGGTCATCTCCACAAGTAAGGTATCACCTGGCCTCCAAGACTCCCGCCCCCCCCCCCCCCAAAAAAAACCCCAAGGGGACCAGTGTGGGTTTGATGAGAGACTATGTTGATTGGAAAGCACTTCACTTGAGGGGGGGAGGTTAAACCTTGGCTGCACATTAGAATCACCTGGGAATCTTTTTAGAATCCTGATTTCTGGGCCTCATCCTCTGGAAATTCTGTGTCTTTGTTATGGGGTGGGGCCACAACATTAGTAACAAAGAAACAGAATTTCTGGAGGATGAGGCCCAGAAATCAGGATTCTAAAAAGATTCCCAGGTGATTCTAATGTGCAGCCGAGGTTGAGAACCACTGCTTTAAGGCATGAACATTTGGTGCCTCGTGAATGTTGGGTACTACATTTGATTGTTGGAACTCATCTTCAGACTTGATGGCAATAAATGGAGCAAATCTAAATTCCAGAGGTTGGTAGGTAAATCAGGCTGAGGGCAGGTTCATTGAATCTACATTTTTCTCTCTTCTGCTTCCTGTTATCTTCTGCTTGTCTGGTTAATTACTACTTCTAAGTCATTCAAGCAAGTGTTTCGTGTTTTAAAATATGAAAGTCAAAGCTGTTCCTTATAGAATACGTAGCAAGTATAGACAAATCCCATTTATTTCCAAAATCCTAAAACAATATGGATGTACATTTCTTCCCAATGTTTTTAATTTTAGGTAAAACTTTAAATTATAAAAGATTTCACACATTCAAAAAGTTATATAACAAACACCCATGAACAACACCCCTACAATATGTTAACATTTTCCCACATTGCCTCACTTCTCTCCTCTTTAAAATAGATATCACTCAAATATCTTTCCTTTCTCTCACCACAGGGTATCATTCCCCTGAAGCTGGCCTATACCATTCCATGCATGTTTATATACTTTTCCTAATGCATCTCTAGAAATATTATTTGGTAGTTGTTTTAGAATAGATAGCAGTTGCTGCACAAACTGTTTTGTTCTTACAACTAGCTATGTGTTGTTTTTTTAATCATTTTAATGGACATTTTTGATCATTTGTATAAGGGAGATGTATTAATATACTGAATTCCCTCATCCACATCATCTAGGCATCAACAGTTATCAATAGATAATTTGTATAAGAGAAGATGTTGAATCTAACTTTAGTGGATGTTTTTGCTTCTTCAATTTAATTTTAAAAATCAACATAACAGCCCTGGCCAGTGTGGCTCAGTTGGCTGAGTGTTGTCCCATGCACCAAGAGGTAGGTCACTGGTTGGATTCCAGGTCAGTGCACATGCCAGGGTGTCAGGCTCAATCCCTAGTAAGGGGCATGCAGGAGCAGCCAATTGATGTCTCTCGCCGTCTCTCCCTCCCTTCCTCCCTCTCTCTCTCCCTCCCTCCCTCCCTCCCTCTCCCATCTCTAAAGATCAATGGAAAAAGTATTCTCATGTGAAGACTCGTAGAAAAATAATAAAAATAAATAAATAAAAATCACATAATAATGAATGCACATTGTAAAAAACAAGTATGGAATATATAAATATGTGAAAGTATTTTATTTAATGTATTCTTCCGTCTCTTACTAATCCTTTGTCAGTTGTGTGTATTCTCAGTATCTTCTAGCTTAAATTGTCTTTTGAGTTTATTTAAGGTGTCTTTTGATGACTAAAATGTTTAATTTTAATGCAGTCAAGTTTACCAATCTTTATAGTAAGTGCCTTGCTTAAGAAATCCTTTCCTGCCGAAACCGGTTTGGCTCAGTGGATAGAGCGTCGGCCTGCGGACTGAAAGGTCCCAGGTTCGATTCCGGTCAGGGGCATGTACCTGGGTTGCGGGCACATCCCCAGTGGGAGGTGTGCAGGAGGCAGCTGATCGATGTTTCTGGCTCTCTATCTCTCTCCCTTCCTCTCTGTGAAAAATCAATAAAATATATTTAAAAAAAAAAAGAAATCCTTTCCTGCCTGGAGGTCTACAAATATTCACTATACTTTCTACTGAGAATGCTGACGTTTCTATCTTAACATTTAAATCCTGTACCACCTGGGGTTAATTTTTTAAAATTGACATTAGGTAGGGAGATAATGTCACCTTTTTATAACATGATAATTTTTCGCTTGAGCCATTCTCTCAAGGATGCATTCAACCTGAGGCCAGTTCACATTATCGCCTGGAAAACTTCAGACTGCTACACGTAGAATTAGTCACAAGGCTGGTTTGTAGTAATTATTAGGTCAAGACATAATTGAGAAAGGCAAAGTTGAGACTATGTTCTTTGACATTTCCATCTGGATAGCAAAATTTAATTCTGATTTGGTTTCATTTTTGGAAGTATAGTGATCTGGGGTCCTGGTCTTATGCATAGACCCCGTATTAAGTTTCCTACAATTGGCAAGCCTTGAGTTTTACTTGCTGACCCCATGCCAGCTTCAAAACAGAAAGGTTTTTAGAAGTTAGCAGAATCTGCCAAGATGAATCAGTTTTGCCACTCTGTTATCTCCAAGGCTTCCTAATTTGGCTCTGATGAGTGGGAGGTGGGCACGGTTTTAATTCTGGCTCCAACATTTTCTAGCTGTGTGAATGCAAGTTAAAACTCTTCTACCAAGAAGACTTCCAGTGGATCATGTGCTTTCATTTTTCTTTCCTTTTTTTTTTTTAATACATTTGTGTTGTTTGTTTTTCAAATATATTTTTATTGATTTCAGAGAGGAAGGAAGAGGGAGAGAAAGAGAGAAACATCATTGATGAGAGAATCATGGGTCCGCAGCCTCCTGCACGCCCCCTACTGGGGATCGAGCCCTGTGCTGAGCCAGCTCAGCCAAGGGTTCGAAAGCCTGAGTGAGGGGGGTGAAGGATGAAGAAATGACAAAGAGAATAAGCTGGGTCTAGGTGAATCTTCCTGTGCCTGGCTGAGGCCACAGAGAGAGATCCCGAGGCAAGCTGAGCCTTTATTTTATAGCCAGAGGTAAACAAGGTAGTGGTCACCATAGTTACAATGTTTTTGTGAGTTTCACTTGTTTTGGCAGCACTTGCTGCACCTCCCACAGCCCATTAGCTACCTAGGAAGGATTTAGGAAGCATCATAAGGTCAAGCAGTAAAGTACGTGAGTGAAATGGTTTTGTAATTTCTCATTGCAAAACTTTGTTCTTCATTACTTCACTCCTTGTAACCTTCAACTCTAAGGATGAAGTCTCTCTATACAATGAAAAATGTTACAAAGCATAAAGAAGACATAATACCAATTTTTGTACCAAATAATAACATCAAAAATGTATGTCACTGATAGGAAAAAAAAGTGGTTAAAATAAGGAAAGTAGAGTTGTAAGGAGATATTTAACAAACACTGTCAAAGGGTCCTTGAGGCTCTGGTTCCAGGTCTTGTCCCACCTTTGCAATTTTTTAAGGATTATGTTGTTGACAGGTGATACATAATCTGAAAATAAACTCAGCTATCTTTATATAAAGTTTCCCCATCAATGCTGACTTAAGATAACAAATTTGTTCCATGATGGATGATTTTATGGATAAATTTAGCTAATATCTATTTAAAATCATCTGGAGCCACCAAGTGGCCATACTGAGAGTGCCAAAGACTGAGTAAAGGGTACAACCAAATTTTTTCCATTCCTCCTTTTCAAAATCAGGGGCTAAATGTTGATATTTTATAATGTCTTCTTCGAATCCCTCCATATATTAATCTTTTGAAGGCTTGCGATAGGATCATAACCTTAAAAGTTGCTTTTTTGACACAATGATCTGTGTGTTTTTTTTAATTGAATCCAGAGAGAGGGAGAGAGGGATAGAAACATCAGTGATGAGAATCATTGATTGCTGCCTCCTGCAAGCTCTTTGCTGGAGATCAAGCACGAAATCCAAGCATGTGCCCTGTCCCAGAATCGAACTGTGACCTCCTGATTCATGGGTCAACCACACCTGCTGGGCTCATGTCACTTGCTTTTAATTCATGCTTACAAAATAAAACTTTTACTTGCATTGCTCATGTCCCTTTATTCCCCTTCCAGAGTATTAACCTATAACAGCCATTTTCTTGTTGCTTTTTGCTCAGTTTGACCTCTTTAAGTCACTTTTCCCACTACATTTTTTTTCTCTCACTACGTTTTTTTTTCCTACAAAAGAATTCCCTAGTCTTTCACTTTAGTCTTTTTGTTTGTTTGTTTCACTTTAGTCTTGAACTCACTGGTGACCTGGTATTTCATTTTCCTTTTTCTATCCATTCTCTTGATGTAGGCCCCCAATTTATCACCTGTTACCTCCTCTGAGCCTCAACAAAGTTGTGTGCTGAATTAACATCTTCTACCGAACTGGGGCCATGGCTTGGCTTGATTGAAAGTAGCAAAGTTTACTTCTGCCTAGATTGGGGACCAGAAGGGCATTATTTGCTCTTATTGAAGTAAATGGAATATAAATTATGTTTGTTGTATTACATAAGAAGATTCAGTTTGCTATAGAAAAACAAATAGTACCCAACATTCACGAGGCACCAAATGTTCAAGCCTTAAATCTTAGGTAACACCCATCTTGGTCTGATGCTTTCTCTGCCCAGAGACATAAGATAAAATTCACAGCTGCTCAGCACTTTAGCAAGTTACAGCTGTGGCCAGGGTATCTCCACTTGAACAGCACGTGTTTCCTTCAACACTTGATCTAAAGGTGTAATACTTTCTGTTCTTCAATCCTGGACACAGACCACAGATCCTAGCCTCATAATAGATGTCTACCATGTTTGACAGATGATTGACATGAGATTTGTTCAGACAATTTGAAGATCCTAATCAAAGCAGGGGCACTCCCAGCTGGCTTGCT